CTGCGAGGGGGGGGGAGAGAGGAGGAAGTGGGCGGGGTTGAGTAGAAAAACAAGTGAAGGCATAAACTACCATAGTCTGAAACTTTCGGAGCTTCACGCGGATTTATTCGGTCTATGCTGGAACCATCTCGCAGCGCCTCCGGCGCCGCCCCTGGCGCGCTCCGCGCACCAGGGAGGGAGTCCAGCGCAGATTCAAGATATCCTCGCGGACCTCCGACAGTTGATGTTTAGACAGTTTGCTCTTCCTCTGTAGAGGGTGGAGGTAGCGAGGATCGAGGATCGAAGATTCGAGGATAGAGGTTTCGGGGATCGAGGTTTCGAGGGTCTTCCTCTGTGATGGAGGAGCGAGTCCCAGACCCCCTCGGGTCGTGACAAAAAATATAAGCGCAAGGTTTTTGGCAACTTCCCGCCTTTTGGGGCCCTCACCAAACGCCAGGACCGTCCAAACATGGCCGGGGATGAGATACGGGTCCCGTGGAAGGGGTCCAGACCTTTTTGGGGCCCACGTCATGGACAAATCATGACGTCGGGGGTCTGTGGTGGAGGGGGTAAATGGAAAATGGGGATAGGGAGCAGGAGCGAGGGGGCGAGATGGGCAGGATGGAAGGAAAGGGGCAAAGGGGAGGAGGGGCAGGAGATGGCAGGACAGGTCAGATGAGGATGGGGTGGTGGTGGTGGCTGCTCTGAAGGTGGAGGCTGTCCAGCAGAGGATGAAAAGCAGGGATGGGGAGAGAGAGAGAGAGAGAGAGAGAGAGAGAGGGAGAGAGAGAGAGAGAGAGGAGCGAGGAGGGGCGCGCCCGCAGGGCCGAAGACAAGGGGGGGGGGGGGGTCCCCCTCAGCTGCCCCCCCTCCCGTGGACCTCCCCTGCCGGAAGCTCCTTCCCCCCCCCCCATTCTCCTCTTTTTTGCCCGCCCCACAGGAGCTACCACCCCCCTCCCCCCCCTTTCCGCCATCCGGAAGCTACCCCCTTTCCTCCCCTTTTGCAAAGGCGGGGCAAGGCTTAGCTACCCCCGCTTCCCTTCGACCACCCCTGCCAGAAGCCCCCCCCCCTTAGTGTCCCCATCCGGAAGCTACCCACCCCTCCCCTCATTTCGCCCTCTGGAAGCTCCCCCCCCCTCCCCCCCCTGTGCGAAAGGGAGAGAGGGGCTTAGCTCCCCCCCCCTCCCTTGAACCCGCCCTGCCGGAGGCCCCCATCCTTCCCCCATTTTCGTCGCAGCCGCGAAGCTACCCCCCCCTCCCCCGCTTTCGGCCTCTGGAAACTACCCCCCCCTCCTTTCCGAAAGGGGAGGGGCAGCTTAGCTACACCCCCCTCCCTTCGACCCTCCCTGCTGCCCCCCCCCCCCCCTCTCCCCCTTGTCCAATCCGCGGGAGCGCCATCCTTCGGAACCTCAACCGTCGCCCCCGGCTCCTCACACTTAGACCCTAACGTTGACACCCCCAAACAACTGCCACTACGACCCGCACCCGCACAAACTATCCCAGACATCTTACCATATACACCTCGCCCTCAACCCTCCTGTATGTACTCCCGCCCGAACGCCCCCCCCCCACCCCCCACGAACGCCTGGAACAGAACTCCCTCGCCCCTAGAAAAAGAGAAAACGAGAAAACGAACCAGGGTATGAGAAAACAAGACCACAACCCAGGGGCCGAGAAAACAACAAAAACAAACTAAACCAGGGTCCGAGAAACCGAGAGCACGACCCAGGGGCCTAGAAATGAGAAACCACGAAAACAAGGGAGGGCCCGAGAAAAACCAGGGTCCGAGAAACCGAGACCAAGGCCCAGGGGCCGAGACGACGAGAAATCGAAACGCCGAACCAGGGTCCAAGAACGAGACCACGACCCAGGGGCCAAGAAAACGAGAAAACAAGAACACGAACCAAGGGACGAGAAAACGATTACACGACCCACGGACCGAGAAAACCAGAAACCGAGACCACGACCCAGGGGAAGAGAAACCGAGACCACGACCCAGGGGACGAGAAAACAGGAAAAGAGAAAACGAACCAGGATCACAGAAATCGAAACCACGACCCAAGGGCCGAGGAACCGAGAAACAAAAAACAACGAGCCAGAGCCCGAGAAAACGAGACCACGATCCAAGTGTAGCGAAAACGAGAAAACAAACTAGGGTCCAGGAAAAGAAGGCAACGACTAAAGGGTCGAGAAAACGAGAAGACGAGAAAACGAACGAAGGTCCGAGCGAGAAACCGACCGTCACCACGACCCAGGGGCCGAGAAAACAAGAAAACAAGAAAACGAACCAAGGCCGAGGAAACCGAGACCACGACGTAGAGGCCAAATGAGAACGCGAGACAACGAACCAGGGCCTGAGAAAACGAAACCACGACCCAGGGGCCTAGAAACCGAGGAAACAAACCAGGGCCAACAAAAAAACAAGACCATGATCCAGGGGCCGAGAACAGGAGGAAACGAACCAAAGTCAGAGAAAACAGCCGAACACGAGAAACCACACCGAGACCACGACCCGAGAGCCGAGAAAGCGAGAACACGGAAAAACGAATCAGGGCCGAGAAACCGAAACCACGACCCAGGGGTCGATAGAACGAGAGAATGAGAAAACAAACAAGGGTCATAACAAAAACTGAAACCCAGGGCCGGAGACACGACACAACGAAAAACGGAACCATGGTCCGAGATAACAACACCACGACGCAGGGGAAGGAAACACAGAAAACGAGAAAAGAACCAGGGTCCGAGAAAACGAGACCACGACCCAGGGGCAGAGAAAACGAGAACACGAACCAGGCTCCGAGAAACCAAGACCACGACCCAGGGGCCGAGAACACGAGAAAACGAACCAAGGCCTGAGAAACCGAGACCACGACCCGAGAGCCGAGAACACGAGAACACGAAAAAGCGAACCAGGGGCCGAGAAACCGAAACCACGACCCAGACGCCGAAATAACGAGATAACAAGAAAACAAACCAGGGTCCGAAAGACCGAAACAACGACCCAGGGCCGGAAGAACGAAACAACGAACCATAGCCCGAGAGAACAACACCACGACCCAAGGGACGAGAGAACAAGACAAGGAACAAACGAACGATGGCCCGAGAAAACAAGACCACGACCCAAAGGCAGCGAAAACGAGTAAACGAGAAAGCGAATCAAGGTCAGAGAAACCGATCGTCACCGCGACCATCGGCAAAGAAAACAGGAACATAAGAAACGAACCAGGTTCAGAGAAAACGAGACCACAACCCAAAGGCCGAAAACGGAAAACGAGAAAACGAACCAGGGTCCGAGAAAACAAGACCACGACCCAAAGGCCGCGAAAACGAGGAAAACGAGAAAACGAACCGAGGTCCGAGAAACCGACCGCCACCACGACCCAAGGGGCGAGAAAACATGAACAAGAGAAAACGAACCAGGGTCAAGAGAAAACGAAACCACGACCCAAAGGCCGAGAAAAACAGAAAACGAGAAAACGAACCAAGGTCCGAGAAATCAAGACCACGACCCAAAGGCCGCGAAAACGAAGAAAACGAAAAAACGAATCAAAGTCCGAGAAACATAGAGGGTGCCATGCCAAATAAGCCTGACGGTTTTTTGGCACCCTCCCTATGCATTTATTTGTAAATAGGAATTCTTTTGTATTCCGCTACAAAGGAAATCCTTTTGCATTCCGCTACAAAAGGGATTCCTTTGCATTCGGCCACAAAGGGAATACCTTTGTATTCCGCCACAACGGAAATCCTTGTGTATTCCGCCACAAAACAAATTCCTTTGTATTCCGCCACAAAAAGAATCCCTTTGTATTCCGCTACAAAACGAATTCCTTCGTATTCGGCCACACAGAAAATCCATGTGTTTTCCGCCACAATGAAAATCCTCTTGTATTCCGGAACAAAAGGAATTCCTTTGTATTCCGCTACAAAAGGAATCCCTTTGTATTCCGCTACGAAAGGAATTCCTTTGCATTCCACCACGAAGGGAATACTATTGAAATTACTATACTAATTGAAAACCATGACCAGGCACGGCTATCGCAGCAGTTTTATTTAAAACATTAAGAAAACCATAGCCAGGCACAGCTATCACAGCATTTGTTATACAAAATATTGGGAAAACCATGGCCAAGCACAGCTATCACAGCTTTTCCTGCTGATTTTCCAACTATGGAATTTAATTTCAATGAAACGCTGTGAAAACACATGGCTTTCTTTGATATTCGAATGAACAAAAAAAGGGAACTTTGTGTTTTTACAGCTTATTATTGAAATTAACATACATAGCTTGAAGATCTTGCTGAAGGATGTGATCGCTGTGCCTGGCCACGATTCCCTGAATATTTTGACTTATAAATGCTGTGATAGCTGTGCCTGGCCATGAAAAACATTTTGTTTCTAAAAAAGGGCTGTGATAGCTGTGCCTGGCCATGATTTACAACTATTGCATTAAGTTCAATAGGATTCCCCCTTGTTGCCGAATACAAGGGGATCCATGTTGTAGCGGAGTGCAAAGGACTTCCTTTTGTGGCGGTATACAACAGAATTTCTTTTGTGGCCGAATACAAAAGATTTCCTTTTTGTGGCCGAGCACACAGGGATTATTTTTGTAGCGGAACAAAGGATTCCTCTTTGTGGCGGAACACAAGAGATTACTTCTTGTGACCGAATACAATGGGATTCTTTTTGTAGCGGGATACAAGGATTCTTTTTTGCGGCGGAAGACCAAAGGATTATTTGTCTGGCGGAATACAAAAGGATTCCTGTTGTGGCCGAATACAAAAGTATTCCTTTTGTAGCGGAATTTTTGCTACCGTGGAGAGGTTCTGCTTTCATTGATAGAATGCGCTGCCTTTCTTGCATGTCCTCGAGGGTGCCGCGAAACGCAGTCGGAGCTGCATTCGCGCTGCGGTCCAAAGAGCTAGACCCGGCAGCCGTTAATAGGGGATGGTCGTATGACTGGGATGACATTGATGGATCATTGAATAACCCTCTGGCGCCCCGTGCAGATGGAGGCCTGATGG